AATTTTTTTTCCTTAAATTTTTAAAGGGTCAAAAGAAAAGAAAAAAAAAAGTGAAAGTGAGAGAGGAGGAAGAAAGTACATAAAAGAGCAGAGGAATAGACATAATAAGCAAAGCATTGGTAAAAGTCAAAAAGTAAGAAACATTACAGACCCTGTCCCCTTTATCCAATGGACAATATCATTTCTTTTTGGTAAAATTCCTTTCTCCTTTTCAATTTTAATATTAAAAACAAAATCTAACCATTTCGCTGATTATTTATATTTCTTGTTTCTCGATTTGTCAAAAAAACATTCTCAAAATTTATAAAGATTTTAAAAACAATAAAAATATCTTTTTTTTTGTTTTAGTTTTTAATTTGTTCCAAATATGGTTCTATCAAATTCATGGAGGGTGGACTATTGGATTTGTAAGGTGATTTCAAACAAAATACCACATTAGTTATGGAAGGGAATGATCATGGATATATAAGAGGGACAATTATCTCCATCGCTGTGAGACCTTTTGGGTGAAATCAAAAACAGAGTCTTGAGGTTATACCAAAACGTTTACCGTTATCCTTGATGGTGGATAATATAATTCTATTTTCTATTATTAAAAATAAAAAAATAGAAACACATAACTGCCCTGTCCGGCCCATCAAATCTTGTTCTAAATTCTAATTTACCTTTTTTCGTTTTATATATTATTATTAAAAAAGAAGAGAGCAAAAAAACAATAATGGTTGCAGTTGTTTGTGTGAGGGCACGCTTTGAAGTTTGACAACTCTGTGCTGTCGTCCTAAATTACGGAAATGCCCTTTTTATTATTATTATTTATTTTGTGTGGGGATGGTATGAGCTGTACTGCCCCTGCTGCAAAGGTCACCGTCCCCCACGCCCTACCCTACGCCCCACGCCCCTACCACTTTCTTCATTTCTTTTGATACCTCGGATTGCCCTCTCATTCCCCCTTTCTGCGCCTCACGTGCTCCTCTCCCGTCTCTATAGTTTGCGCGTAGTTTCAATTCAATTCGGTTCGAAAAGTGTTTTGGTATTGTTTTTCAAAAACAATAGTAAACAAATACGTTCTTTCTATATTTCTCTCTCTTACTTGTCAGAATTTTAATGATGATCAGATCGATTCTTGTATATTATTCGACTAGTTTTGTTAGCTAGTTATATTAAATCTTAGTTCAGGGTTAAATAAAAGGGAGAAAATAGGTAGGTAAAAGATGATTTAGGGAATATTTGTTTTTCTTTAGTTCAACGGTTGTAGGGTGGAAGATCGGATCATTGTCTGTTTGACAAAATTATAGAGACGGAATTGAAACATTTAAAAGTATAGGACTAAAAGTATATTTGGGATTTGGTGGTGGACAGGAAGAGCATGAGCAAATCAAAGCAAGGAAGAAGGAATCAGACCAACAACACCTACAATGGAATGATTACAAGTCCATGCCTTTCACTCAATGTGTGAGTGTACTCAAAGACCAATAACAAAAAAGAAAAATATATATCATTTCTTTTTTAATGCTTTTTTTTTTGGGTGGATTTAGGTTGTGAATGAAACATTAAGAGTTGCCAACATAATCAGTGGGGTTTTTAGGAGGGCAATGACAGACATTAACATCAAAGGTACTTAAATTTGTTCTTCATTACTACAAATAATTTGACTAAAAAGAAAAGAAAGTGATTGGAAATTTGTCTGCAGGTTATACAATTCCAAAGGGATGGAAGGTTTTTGCATCATTTCGTGCAGTACATTTAGACCATGACCATTTCAAAGATGCTCGTTCCTTTAACCCATGGAGATGGCAGCAGGTACAATCTTCAATCTAATCAACTATCTCAATCCTATCTCCATGTCGTTGCTAACTCCTTGCTTCAACTCAATAGAATGGCTCAGGATCAACGGTCAATGCATTTACACCGTTTGGTGGGGGTCCAAGGTTATGTCCTGGTTACGAGCTTGCCAGAGTAGAACTCTCTGTTTTCCTTCACCACATTGTCACACAATTCAGGTATCCATCTCTCTCCCCATCTCTCTCTCTGTTTCTGTGTCTCTGTATGACTGAGATGGTTCCTGTGATCGATTGGATTTCAGCTGGGTTCCGGCAGAAGATGATAAGTTGGTATTTTTCCCTACAACAAGAACGCAGAAGCGCTATCCTATCGTCGTGAAGCGTAAGAACGAGAATAGGCAGTGTAAAGACAGTCGGTCATTGTGACACATGAAGGGAGAAGTATCGGGGTTCGATATGTAGAGGGGAGTTGTAATCTTTCTCTTGATCTTGTATGAATAAGATTATATGCTAAATTAATGAGTTTTAGTACACAGAATATGCAGCTACTCAATAGTACAGTCAATGAATTACCAATACAAAAATTATCACTTCTCTCAGCCCCCTCCCTCCCCAAGAGCACCAATTTTCTAGTTCTAGCCAAAGCAAAAACAGTCTTCTCTACCTACATTTACAAATCTTCTGGTCAGTTGTTCTCCAGGCTTCAAAATTCAGAGTCGATTCAGCAATATTTGGTGGTTGAGACAGACTTCTTTACAGAAATAGGCAACAGTAATGTCAGTCCAATTGCACATATTCAAATAAAAGAAGCACTAGAAGAGATTTCAGCATCTGTTCCTTTCCTTGCTTTTTATCGTAGATTCAACTAGCTTAACCTTCTTAGTGTTCTCAGCATTGAGGAGGGAGAGTTTCTTGAGCGATGATTTGAGTTGAGAGATCTGAGAGCCTTGGACATAAGTGTTTCTCCTGTACATTTTCTGTTGTTGGTTGTTTACTAGATTGTTGTTCTTAGAAGAATTTGGGTACCTCCTTAGTCTTGCAGTTAGCGTGTCGATCGAAGTATGTAAAGCATCCAACTCAACACCCGCAAAGTGGTCTGTATGGCAACAGAGTATCACATAGTTAAACAGAGCAGTTGTAATATGAACTTTTGAACTTAACGTTTGGGAATTTCTTTGACTACATGACTTGAACATAATTTACAATCCACATAAAATAACAATTTACTAAACTAACTTCATAGTACACAAGGACTAAGATGAAGGGTTATATTTGACAGGGTTGCAAAATATTAAAAGAAGAGCAATAACTTGGTTTTAAAATTAATGGAAATCAGTTAACTCGGATCTACTTCTACAAAAAAACATGTGTCTGTGTGAACTCCCTCGTGCACAAATTAACCAAGCCTACGAGACAACCATGTGGACATTGAAAAATATCCAAAGAGGTGGCCTCCGAAGGTGTGATTTCTAAGACACAGCATACGAGAGATCGCATGTACCAAGAAAATACTATAGATAATACAAGTTAAATGAAGAATTCAATTATTCTGGTTTTATATTTAGCCCAGCCTCAATCTGTAAAATCCGGTATGACTTTTAGAAGTGGCATAAATGAGTGAAACATTGCTATTGGAAACAAGTGTTTCCTGAAAAATTTTTAGCTATGTAACCAAATACGGTGAAAACTTTGGAAAGTAGTTTTAATCGGCTAAAAGCACTTTTCAACATTCTAAAAGTCATGCCAAATTTACTTTTAACTACTCAAGCAGTCGATGAAGCAAATAAATTTAAGAACTTTATCTGAGAATTTATTACCAAGTGTAGATTTGAACTCTCTTTCTGCTTTGGACAATGGCCTTTTGTGAGCTCCTGGCAAGTTCTTCAACCGATGTAAGCGCTCTTCCAGATCATTGTGCAGTTTGATTGCACGTTCTATCCTGTCCTCCAATAATTGCTGTTTCCCCTCTACTTTTAAGAGCTTTTTCTGTGCCTCTTTTAAATGAGCATGCTGATCGTCAATTAACCTCTTCAACTTGGGCCCCTGATGCTTTAGCCCGTAGTACACCTAGAGGGGGGAGAGGAAGGGAGGAAGGGAGGAAGGAGGGGTGAGTTTAGACTAACTAAATTGTCTAAATTAGCTGCCAAACTTTTAACTACTAGTTTTCAATTACCGTATGTGCATACTCCACATAATTTTCATGGAAGAGCTTGAAGTATTGATGAAGCATGGACCGACCTTCGATGGAATCAGCAGTCACGGAACGCATATTTGATGAGGACTGAGGAAGGAGAACCACCTTAGGTCCGCTGAGAAGATCTTTGCTTATGATTTTAGATCTCTCACTTTCATTTTTTTCTTCAGTCATGACTGATTTTCCACCGTTTAGGAAATTGTTAACCTGAATTGGGACTTGAAGGTTCCAAGTCTTCATCTCTAGAACAACGCATTCTTGAGAAATGGTGACTCCCACAATCCAGGAATATCCGAATGAATCGGACAATGAGGCAAAACCACAAAGCGGAAATGGGTCGGAAGTGTCTCCCTGGCAGGTATTCAGTACAGGGTGCACAGAGGGAGTTCTCATGGTCTGGTCCTGTCCTCGGCTTTGACTTGTGAATGGGAGAAAATGCAGTATAATCGAGTCTATGCCTCCACTGTGAAGAGCATAAATTCTTTCGTCCATGAGTTTATCGACGAACATCGTGACAAGAGAATCTCTCTCCATTTTCTTCGGAAGGGCCAGATCGACAATAGCCAGCCTCAACAAAGGGGGAGGGTGCCCCGACCAAACTGTATGATCAAGTGGTTGATCAAGCTTCACCTTGGAGAGCTTCCCTGTGATCAATTCACATATCATAGCAAGACCAAGGATGTTGTCATCAGCATCAACACGTACACGTGGGGGACTACCAAGATTCCAGACAGGCTGAATTTCATCAGCAAGGGCGTCTATCTGCAGTTGCCCACCACTCCACGCTGTCACTAGAACTGAGTCTTTGCTGATTAGATTATATAGTAAACTTACTGCACGGCCTTCACATTCTGCACCTTTAATTGATGTATCTCCTTCATCTCCATTATTGCACGCTCTCCTCAAAGGCCCCTGGTAGACCATGTGGTACGAAGATTAAGGATTATAACACTGAGTACAGAGAGTATATTTATATTGCAACCTATGCATATGCCACACCACTAAAAATTTGATAACAGCACACTGACTAAATATGTGCTTTAGTTCCTAATGTTCGAGCGTTTTTCACTTAATCCCTAATATTAAAAAGCCCTAATTCAATCCCCTATGTTTTAACATTTTTCAATTATACTCTTCTCATTGATGAATGTCAAAATTGACTAATGATAAACTTACATGACAGTGAGTTGGCGTAAATTTAGATAAGAAATTGGGTCATCTAAGAGATGGAAAATCAAAATTGGGTCAACTTAAAAATTTGGATGAGAAATTTGAAACTTTCCTCTTGCGGCTTAATTTTCCCTCTAAATTTCTGCCAACCCACTAAATATCATGTCATTTAAGTTTATCATCAGTCAATTTTGACATCACTAACAAGAATGGTAAAATTGAAAAATGTTAAAATACTAGAGACTAAATTGAACATTTTTAAACATTATGAACTTAAAAAGAAAATTACTCAAACATTAGCAACTGAAACATATATTCAGCCTAACACATTCTAATATGTATAGGTCATTGCCAACTACCAAATGCATTCATTGAAAATGTCTCGTACCTGCAATGCAAGTGACGCATCAAATAAAGCACAAGGATGGGCCATAATCACAGGCATGCCTCCTCCATCTGTTGCTTGAACTAAATTTGGAAAAGTTTCTTCCAACCAAGAGATTGGAAGACTGGAATTACTGATAGCTTTTGAATTGGCTGATTTTAGCCCAAAAGACTGAGCATCGTTATAAATCTCCAATATAGATTCCCACTTGTAAGTGCTGTCAAGGACAAAGCACCAGTTACAGATAGTATATATATTTCTATTCATTAATTGTAGGCCTTATACTACTAGGAAACTATAAGGTCCTTGTCAGTTACTTTTAGTAAGCTACAGGGAAGATTTGGAGTTTAAAAGGGTATGTTCGACCCATTTTCCATGACTTCGTAATAGATAGATGATGAGGGTAAATTGTCCTCTGAGTCTCACCTCGCACTTATTTTCACAGTACTAAATATTTGAAGAATGAAAACCAAAGGAATAAAGTATCTGTCTTTAGTAATTATAATTCATTTATAGTCCACGATTCCCAAAAGTCAATTAAAGAAGGGAGAGATGTGGGAAATTGAGTACCTTTTAAATGGAATAACAGGGCAGAGGATGTAAATTGAACCATCGCTGAATAAAACAAACACCTGCAGATATACTGTGTGAGCAATTTCTTTATAACTGAATGTTGGTTCTTACACCGTTTTAACAGTTTTTCATGCATTGAGAAATGGTACTAACATCAGATTTAAGATCCTACACAATAAGAAGTTTACTGAAACATTTTTAATGCATGCAAGTCGATGCATAGCAAGATATAAAAATTTAATCTGGCTTGATATTACTGATGCTTAAAGCATAGTGGAAGACCAAATGGACATAGCACACAAAGTTAGGTTAAAATACCGATAAAACATCATAAAAAAAAAAAGTTTGAGCTTTTAATTAATGTGAAGGTACAGCATGGAAGAAATCAACGAGAAATACAATGCTAAATGTAAATATCTAGGGGAGGAAAAAAGAGAAGATAATAAGATAAGTTTTCATCACCATACTGAGAAAATATTAAGTCATTGAAAATCAATATAACAAATTTCAAATGAATAAACTTACACTAAATTTGTCCCACAAGTGGTCTCCCCCAAACGAAAAATCAACAGGGCAGATTGATGTGGCATTTATGGATTGACCAGGCTCCACTGGCTGCAGGTAATACTCTTGCTCTGGTTGCAAAATATCTGAAGACAGATTAAAAAGCCTGAAAGGGAAAAGGAAATAAGCAATAAGCCACACATATCAGATTGTTAGGAAGAGACTAATTGGTAATGGCAAGATTTTGAAGAATTTGATTGCTAGCATCCATCTTTCCAAAGAAAATTCATATATTTTAATGATTTTCAACAAGCTATAAACAGTTTTTCGAGCACAATAGACCAAGGAAAAGAGACTCCATTCAGGACAGGCGATAAGTGAATTTTTCATAAGCCTCAAATGGAAAAAAGAATAATTAATGCAGATTCTACTCATCATTCCTAGTTGACAAGCAATAACAAGATTTTGTTAATTCTCACGCTGATTATGAAACAAAAACAATAAGAGAAAGAGAACCCACAAATTACGAACAGTACCTCCAACATAAAAAAAAATAATGGAAAAATGAAAAATCTTCCTAAACTGTCGTGTAAGTTGTAACCTGGCCCACAAAGCAACATGAAATTGTTCTTTAACTTAGTCTCAAAAAGAAAAATCTAATTTTAGTCCATGAATTTTTACACTTATTTTATGTCCCTCATACTTTCAACTAATATGATACCTGGTATAGAATTTGCATTTCCTTCATGAAAGGTGCTTAAAGGGTCTTTATTCAGAAAATGTAATACCTGAAAACAGAATCAGAAGAAAGGACTCCCAGATGGAAGTCACTATAAGGGTGCCAAGAAACTTGTAGCGTGCGTATGACATCGTGGCCACCGTAGTAGATCTGCGGACCAACTCTAACAGTTCTGTAAGCAAATTGACAGATTCTTTCAGAAGGAACTCGATGGAATACAAAGCATGACATCCTTTCATTAAGTTTACATAAAATGAAAATTAACCAAAAAGTATTTACAAATTCAAGGCTAAAATCCTTTGGATTTGCATGGTTAGGAAGATTTGGGAGGAAAGAAACCACAGACTTTTTGAAGAAATCGTAACTTTGGAGAAGTCTTTTGCTTATTATGATGTTTTCTTTGTGGTGTTCGAACTACAATAAATTCTCAGTTATCAAAAAATAAATAAATAAACAACAATTGGAAGGCCTTTCTTCGATAGTTCAGCCCTCAGGCTGTCCATTTTGTGATTCTTTTGCAACAAAATATGAACAAAAGCTACAACAGATGGAAAGCAGACTTAAAAGCATTAACTCAGCTGTAGGGCTGTGCCTCACCTACAGATGAGCGTGTTCTCTCTGGAAGAAGTGTGGCCATAGAGATACATTATGAACAAACCACCTGGACCCACAAGGGCCAGTGCTGATCCATTCTTATTGATAGAAATCTTGTGAACAACAAAGTCGAGTTTCACATCCGGTTGCAGTACCTGTTTTCAAAGCATTGATATCAGGAATAATGACAAGAAAAAAGTAGCAACTTAGAACACACAGAAGCTCAGAACAAAAGGAAGAAAAAAAGAAGGGCAAATTAGAACACACGGCAGTTCAGAACAAAAGGGTTTTCTCTTCAAAATCCCAAGTCAGTTTTGAGAGAGAACAAGCAGAATTCCTATTAAACCAAGTTTAGAAAGAGAAAAGATAACCGACTTTGGAAGGAGAAGCGGCGAGGACGGAGGTGGGTTCGGGTTCACCGAGGCGTATGGAAATCCGGTGAACGCAGAGTATGGTGCAGTCCCAGAAAAAGAGCCGGGAGGCGCCGTCCGACGCAAGGAGGTTTCTTAGAGGCGGAGAAACGGTGCCGCCAAAATCGGCGGCGGCGGCGGCGGTGAAAACGGGGTGCGTTTGTAGAGGGACCCAATCGGCGTCTAGTTTTGGAGTCGGAGATCGATGGTGGCCGGAATCAGGTTCGTTGTCGTCAAAATTGTACCTCATTGTCGTCTCAGACACTGAAATCGCCGATCTTGCTTTCGATTCTCCGGCGAGCCCTGTCCGCCCCCAACTGAATAAGCTACCACTGGGTGACCTCTCTCTCTTCTTTTCGGTTCTTTTGTTTCTTTTTCCTTTTTTCTGGTGGGGTTACTTGTTTAACGACGTCGTTTGACAATCAATAATATTATCCAAACATTCACCCTCATCGTTGCTCGGCCCGATCCCATAAGGCCCGGCCTTAATATGTCCTCAAATATTGTTTGGGCCGATCCAACCACTAAAATCTAGGCTTATAGTTCAATTAATGAATTTTATTTTTATATTTTATTTTGAAGTAAATACATTGTAATATTATATTAATATAAACGAAAAAAATTAGAGGATGAGAATGATACTAAGACACTAAATACTAATTAATTGTTTTTTAATAATTAATAAAGTTCGATAATGAGGAGCCAGTGAGTCAGAAGACAAACAACGACATAAGAGATGTTTGGTTGAAGTATTCGGCAACTGGGAAGAAGTAAGAAGACTGCAACCATAATCGTTAAGGTAGGTATGGGGATGTGAAATCGTGAAGGATCTGCGAGATGCAAGAGAGACCAATCAGACTGGTTTGGGAGCAGAATACTGAGAAGCATCTGCAACATTAGTATCAATTGGTGGGGATGTACATGTGTCATCAGTTGTAGCAGTAGGAATAACTTCGAAAATTGAACTATTATGAGTCCCAACAGTTGGAGAATGATTAGAAGAAACAAGTTGATCTGGTGATATTTTAAGTAATACCACATTATGAGTTATGGTCGAGGGACAAGAAGTATGGCAAGAGAAATCAAATGAGTGTGGAAGTACGAGATAAGGAAAATGGTCTAAAAGACTATCATGTAAAGTGGTCTCATGAAAAGGATATATGTGTTCATAGAAAACCACATCGTTGGAAACAAAAACTTTCTTATTGACAATGTCAAATAATCGTTGGTCCTTCATCCCTGGAGGATAACCAATAAAAATAGCAAGAGTTGCCTGGGTGATCAAATTTGGAATGCCCTGAAGAGAGAGTATACGCAAAACACAATGACCCAAACACCCGAATGCTAGAATAATCAACATCCTTATTGTATAGACGACTATATGGAGTCTGTCAAGAAAGAACATGGGAGGGAATTTTGTTGATTATGAAGGTTCTATTAGAACAAAATCTCCCCAAAATGAAAGTGGAACCCATGACTGAAAATAAAGGGAGCGAGCAACATTAAGTAAGTGTTGATGTTTCCTCTCGACAACAGAATTCTGTTAAGGGCGGGCAACACAATAAAACTGATGGAGAACTCCTTTGGCGTTAAAAAAACTCAGTGAATGAGAGTTCTACAGCATTATCATATCAAAATTGATTCATATGACACCAAATTGAGTCTCTAACATACTTAAAATACTAAAGTATGATATGTAATGCATCAGACTTATATCTCAGTAGAAAAATCCAAGTATATCAAAAATGATCATCAATTATTGTTAGAAAATATCAACAATCAGCAGGTGTAGACACACGAAAAGGTCCTCATATGTCACAATGAACCAAATCAAATGGCTTATCAGCAATGTTATTATAAGCATGAAAAGACAAACACTTCTGCTTAGAAAGTGGACAAACAAGACAAGAATGCTGAGAAGTAATGTGAAATGTATCAAACTTCAGTATGTCCTTTAAAGCAAACAAGTGTTTATCAAAAGGATGGCCAAGTCTAGCATGTCCTTTATTGAAATCAGAAGTAGAAGAAACATTGCAAACAGAATTAAAAGACATATGTTGTAACAAACTGGAATCGAAAGACCGAGAAGAATCAGCCTAAAGTAGATATAATCCATGTCAGAGGTCAGTCTTGCTAATCGTCTTCAAAGTGGACTTGGCCTGAATTAAGCAACCATCAACATTAAAAGTAACAATAAAAGGTAAGCTGGCAATCATAGCACTCATAGAGATGAGGTTGATTCGGAAGGATGGGATAAACAGTACTCGTGTAAGAGTAATATGGGAGTTAACCTAAACATCCGCAACAAAATCAACAGTAATACGTTAGTGATTGGGCAGAGAAATCGAAATACCAGACACAAATACCATTGAAATGAACATATCACAAGAAAAACAAATATGTGAAGAAGCTCTCGAATTAAGAACCCAAAAATTCATAGAAGGAACTTGAAGATAAGAATGACAAGTACTTGCCACATGACTCGTAGATGTGCCTGGTTCTGAAGGAGACTTCATTGAAGCCAGATGAGACGGTAAGAAACAAACTATTCAGGACTGTAATTGTTTAAAGAATCATTTGCAGCAACATTCATATATGGAGTATTGGGCGAAGAACCAGATTGTCCAAGACTGTCAGAAGAAGGTCATGGAGATGAACTAGATTTCAAATTGGACCGATAACTAGGGGATATCTGTGAAGCTTGTAGCAGCGATCCACAGTATGGCCTTGAAGATGACAGTGAGTGCAGTACGATTTCTCCTTCTTTTTAGATTTAGAAGACGAACGAGAATTGTTCAAAGAATTACGAACCATGAATGCCGCAGAAACAGGAACAGGAGCAGATGTGGCCAAAGATGTAGAGGTAGAAGCTCACTGCTCAACTTCTTGTGCCACCAAGGAAAACACACGATTAATAGTAGGTTTGGGCTCCATTAGTAATAATTCAGGGCAAATTTGGTTGAACGAGTCATTCAATCCCATTAAGAAGGTCATAACGTACTCAATTTGGAAATAAACAATCAAATCTTTCACACCGCCACAAGTACATCTGCCGCAAGAACAAGAAGGAATATAAGAGGCCAATTCATTCCATAATGTCTTCAATTTAGTGTAATACACACTAAGCGACATTTTTTCTTGCATAAGATTGGATAATTCACGATGAAGCTGAAAAATTCGAGGCCGATTTTTGCGCCGTAACGTTCTTGTAAATCCAACCAAATATCCCTAGTCAAGTCTAAAAACAAAACACTGGTAGAGATTTCTTTGAAAAGAGAATTCAAGATTCATGCAATCACAACATTGTTGCAAATTTTCCAAGAACTGAGTTGATGACGTAAAGGCTGAGAAAGAGAACCATCCACAAATCCCATTTTATTCTTCACGATGAGTGCAATAATCATTGAGCGACTCCATGAAGTATAATTGTTCTCCGTCAACAAATCAAAGACGATAACGAGGCTAGTATTATCATAATGATGCAAGTAATAAAGATTTGCATGATTCTCAAGAACAGATTGAGTAATGGATGAAGAATTTCCAGCAAATGAACAAGAATTTCCAGTGGGAGCAGTAGGATTGATAGGATGTTCGTCGGACATGGCAACGAAAAGAAAGGGGAAAATGCAGCAGAAAAAGAACTCTAAGAAAGAATCTGATACCATATTGGAACTGAAAGTATAATAAACTTGGCTTAGATGTACATACAGTCATGTATATAGGACTTTAGTACAAAACATAATATTGTTTGTAAAATAACTACTTCTAACTAACTATTTAATTAATATAATATTGAAGCTTAATAAATTAAAAAAAAAAAGACTAGAAATGTTGCCTCTTACTTTTACCAACCCGTAGAAAGTGGAGTGGAGGTCACATCACAAGGTTGCAACTTGAAGTTTCACTTTGTTGGACCTACAGTCTGAATATTCAAGTGATTTCAGATATTACATCGTTTTTTTTCTTTTAAAAAAAAAAAAGAAGTCTACAAAGTACGTATTGTAGAGGGGCTGCTTGTTTGTCCCTTCGTCCTTTTCATGCAATTTTCCAACGCATTTTGCACTTGTCTCTCCCTCTCTTTCTATTTTTCGTTACTCTTTTTCTCTCCTCATGCACCTCCGGCTTTGCAGAATCCGCTTTGTACTTGTCTCTCCTTCTCACCATCTGTTTTTTGTTACTCTTCTCCTTTTGTGACGTCTTCTTAAGGTCAGGGCACCAACCAAACAGAAAATATTTTTATGACCTTCAGCTTTGATGTTGAAATCTTAGCCAAAGTTTTTTAAACGAATACCAAAATTGGAACCGAAACCAAAGTAGAGGAGCACAGAGAGGGCGCTCCACCGTTCGAAGAAGGTGATGATTATACAATATTGCCCAAGGAGCACACAGAGGCGGGCACGGGCGTTCCATCGTCCTCAGAAGAAGATAATTATTCAACAGTGCCCAAATTCATGACGAAACGCGGGTATAGAGAGGAGGGCCACAAAACGTTGGTCTTGAGCAATCACTTCTTGGCAGAATTCGATGAAGATAAATACAATGACCTCTCCCATGAGAGCTCATCTTTTGAGTTGATGGAGGCTTATCCATCGTTTAAGTGAAAGTCATCTTTAAGTGCAGGTTTGTTGGATCGGTATGACAACCTAGAGGGGTGAATATGGTTTAACGAAACTTTTTAAACTTTTTAGTGTTGTTAAAATTTGAGAGAATGAGATGTTTATATAGAAGAGAAAAAGAAATTGATTTGAAACCAACATCAATTTGGATCATTGGATTAAGGATAGATAAGAAATGAAGGAATGAGGTTTAAGTTGAATAAAATAATATATAATAAAAAATAAAACTCAAAGCCTCCCATGTTAACTTTGAACATTTTTTTTTTAATGAACCAAACCTTGTCAACGTATTTAATGAGATTTGACTTTTTTTTTCTTCTTTTTTTTTCAAGTTATCTTCAACGATAAATATCCTTCTTTTCTCTTTTCTCTTTTCTTTTATATTTTCTTTTCTTTTTTTTTTCAATTCTTTCTTCCTTCCTTTTTTATTAATACAAATTACGCTACATGTCGCTTTATCAATGGCTGGTTGTGATGACTCAGCTGCCACATCATCATCTCAATAAATTTATCCTTCCAACTTCATTCGGTTATAACTTCTTCGTTTGAACTCCGATTTGGTTAATTAAAAATTCGTTGGAATCACCGTATCAAGCTTTACACTGTGGACATTTCAAACAACTAAAATTCTTTGTTAAACAAAATATGTATTATCAGTAAATCATATAATATTATTGAAGCTCGTAATAATTTTATGTTTTATAACAATAATTTTTACACACCAAAAACAATTAATACTAAGTG